CAAGCACCCATCGCGTCATTCGTACGTCAAACGTAAAAAATATCGCACCCCATGACCGGAAGAGTTGCGCTGAATTCTGGGCATTGGAAGGTTTGAGTGAAACTCCATAATATTTGCCTGGAAAATCAGAATTTGTGGACATATGTTTACTTTGCCCACAATCCTCTTTTTCTAAAGTAGTCGTCCAGCGCGGTCATGCTTTTCCCTGCGTCGATTGAGGTAGGGGAATTCATGTGCGCGAGGCGACCGCGGGAAGGAGCTGTGAATGCTACCAAAGAGATAAGACCATGGCCTGAGGATTCTTGTTCAGCATTTCGTCAAGGTAGATTAATCATTCGAGCTCTCCAGAATCTCCATCCTCCTCGTCCGCGGACATGTCCATTTTATGACTCCACTTTGACCGATTCTCGATACTTATTCAGACTTAGATACATGAAACTTTCACGAAACAAATTTTGTGGTGTTTACATCGTAATATAAATATATCTCGAACCGAGATCATCCCTAACGGAGTTTATAAGCCGTCAAACACAAAGCGTTTTTTGCGCCAACCTGTATACTTGCTCTCCTACCAAAGCCAGTGCATCGATCGGATCGACGCTGGCAATTAGGGCGGAGAAGGTGCGCGTTTATTTCGGTGAATTCAGTTGTGACTCGGACTGCCTAGTGTCATGACAAGAAACACTGCATGAATTAGGTGATGACGCAGAAGCCTGACCAGAGTCATGGGCTATGACTCGACTTCAGAGATGGAGTCATTCCCATCGAGTCATCTTTGCAAACATGGCGTCTACAATGGAAGGCATCTAGTGGTAATTGGACATAACCAGAACCGGGAAACATGCGATTGGAGTTGTGAATGAAGCAAGGCAATATCACGGTGACGGAAACTTTCTTTTCTTAGATTACGAATATCAGTCTTCTGAATTTGCCCTCCTAAATATGACTCGAGAAGTTGCCAATTTCGTATTGAACACGTTTTATCGTTGGGTGAAGTGAACGTTATCTTTGAGTGGCAACGCGACGTACTCTGCAAGTAGGTACGATGAATCACCAAAAATATTACGTTCAAGTTTGTTGAAATATCCAGGTGTATAGGGGAGTGGATTTGGAACCAGGTGGATGTCTCCCCCGGTGGAAATCCATTGGCGCACATGTATTTCGAGCCAGATTGATTTTTCCTTCGGTGGAGAACGCTCCAACAGGTGGAAATACCGCTAAGGGGGACATAAACATGGCTCGAAATCCACATGGGTGGTGGACGTTTTGTAAAGGGCCCATTCATCGAGCTATGTTTCCGAACTCTTGCACGATGAACATCCCGTAGTGGTAATTTTAACTTGAAGAGCATTTCGTAGAACATAGTCATTTTTCATTTTCAACTGCCTCTAATGGTCATACAGCTAGGAAGAGGATTTAAACTCTACCTAAGACTTGTGCCACGCCATACTGGAAAAAATGACCAAATGAGTGAATCAGGCCAAAAGGGGCCAGTACTCAGGAGACAGTAAACACTTGGAGACCCTGATGCTTTCATAGTCAAAAAAGATGCGCAAAATGTCTTCGGAATGAGAAAGGTAACCCCTAGTGTATTTTTTTTAAGTATGTTGATCTGACAATAAATTGCTTAGTCTTCCGGAACCATGTCCTTCGAAATACATTGTCACTTCCATTGAGTTTTACACATCTTTACACATCGCCTTTCTGGGGTCCCATGCCGTGGTCATCGCCGCCCACAAAACATAATGGCGAGAAAACTTTCTTATGCCACATGTAGTCTCTGTTGGGAAAAACGAGAACGTGCGGAAAAGAACAGATATGTTGATACTGGAATTTCATAGCAAATTAAATTGATTTTTTCGACGAAATAAGAGCAAGTTGGAAATGATGACCACTGAATTTATAGGACTGGTTTCATTTTGAAATTAGTGCAGAATAGGAAATAATACGGATAATACTGATCGTCTCTTATTTATTGTCCAGAGAACGGAAATGAAGGCAAAAAAGTCACTATCAATGGTATTTACTGATAGCATTGGAATGCAGGATCATGCCTCAATAAAAGGCTGTTTCACATTGTCGTTGCATCAGAACATAGAAGAGAAATAAAAAAAACTCCCCCTCCCCTCATCATCTCTTCCGATGACGTCGTCCATCTGCAATAAAAGCTGCCCCATGCCGATCTTATCTCATTTGGGCATAGTTGCTCTTCCATTTCACATCGTTCCATGCCGTACTCTCATGGGGATGTGGTATCAGTTCTCTCCTCTGTCCATTTTACACCAAATTCTGTCCCGGAAATACGTAATTCAAGGTGCGATACAAGTTCCATGCAATGTGGCAGTGTCAGATTTGCGAAAAGAGCAGCACTTTCAATGGTAGTCACGGAAAGGATCACGTTGGTAAAAACAAAGGGAATCATACATTTTCCCAATAATTTTAAATGAGAAAAATTGATTTTTGTAATCCTGCTTGAATCAGGTAATTGTACCCAGCACATGATGTGAACTTTTAAAGTCGATGTTGCTATGAATGCTTTTCGTTTTTAAATGCGTTTCATGAACCATTTCAGTGGGACGTGGAACGTTAGGCCTATCAGAAATTCCTCGAACCATCTCGAATAGGTCTGAGGAGAGAATGCCCTCAAGTAGTATGGAATCCATGGTACGCGCCATCCTGTTTATTCAGTGATGTCTGGATAAGATGTATGCATATCCCACCACATCGATCAATAACAGCTAACCACCGCATCATTCTCAAATCATCTGATGTAATCAGCAAAACAGGTCTCATATATAAAAAAAACAGAAGATCCAGACGCCAATACGATGGTTGAAACAGTCTTGAATCTGGCACAATTTCGACACGGTATCCGGCAACACTGCGGGACAGTACCAGAGCAATCACTCTAAGTCTAATTGAACGACAGCTAATTTCAATTTTATGGCGAAATGGAGCATCGCGAGCAGCAAAAAAAGTCTCTTTTCGTCATCTACGAGTCAATGTCTTTCTTATGGTTGGTCTCTTTCCTCTGAAAACCCCCCAGGACTGGCTACCCACGGGGGCGGGGGGAGAGAGAAAAGAGAAACGGAATGAAAATCATCCTCCAAAAACGAGATTCAGCGTTTTCCACACCCAAGGAGAGATGGAGCTTCAAAGGAGGATGCCCAGTTTCGGCCCTTAAACCATTTTCGAAGAAATGTGCATATTTCAAGAGGGCGTCCTAAGGCAAACTTAAAAATGCAATTATTTTTCACATTGAGCAATTTGAAAACGGTTAGGTTATGGAAAGGTTAAGGTTAGGTTGGCCTATTTTTGGCCTTAAACCGATTTTGATTAAATTCATATTTATGTAATCGGTTTCACTTGTGCACAATGTCTTATCACTTCTCTTGTCCTTTCATATTCCCATCCCCCTCTTCCCTGCGCGTTGGTTTTGTCACTGTGAGTAGTGTCACACAGAAACGGGTCCACTTCTTCCACTGTAGCCTGTTATTCTTCTTCCAATCTGTAAGTTAAATTCATTTCCTAGCGTGGGCTATGTAATACCTGTAGAATCGCTTCGTGATTGGTTCTTCCAGCATTTGGTGCTGAGGTATCGATTATTGCCGAGCACAGAAATATTGTATATAGCCGAATGGACAGGGTTGATTATGAACTTCTGGGAATGCCACATCTTGTAGTAATCCTACGCAATCCTACGTGACACCTAAGCTCAACAATGGAGTATGGTGCCCATGAAGCAAAAAAATTGCAATATACTACATAGGGTAGCAGTTTGAAAGCAATATATTACTTGGAGCGCATTTTCCAACCTCAGCTGGAAAGTGTTTCCCACTGCAATCTACAACACATCCTCTCGGTGTCGGCACACAGACTCGAGACTGCCAGCTCGGGAAATGAATCACCCATACCTAGGGGAGTCCCAGTCTGAGAAACATCAACGTCCGGCATCGTACATGAGCTCATACGAATGGTGGAAAATAGGACACATGCAGCGAACGGCACACTCACGATTCGCAAATCACCGTTTCTTCTATTGAGTATAATTTTAATTTTTTGCCATCTTCCAATATGACTGGGATGCGCGAAAAAAACACCTGCGGAGAATTCTCGGACTCGTCGGCTTTCTTGCGGCGTTCGTCGGTGCGTTCAAAAGACTGAAGGTGATGTAAACAGTGACGAAATAGCGCTTCATTCTGAAATGCTGTATTTGGAAGAATGGAAATTCCGGTGATGGACTTCTTTGCGGAGCCCATGTGAATGCAAGTGGAGACGAATCGACGAATTTCATTATTCGCGCTTGAAATCCTCGGATTCACAGCAGCTGACGGGAGGCGCTGCTTTGAGCGATGCCAGCGTTCCCTTTCGAGTACCACGGCAACTTTCGTCTCCTAGTCAATACGAAAGATGGCAAGACGAGAGAGAATCTTCAATTTTCGATTATTGTTGCCTCCCCTCCTTTCGTGAGGCCACTTACAAATTTCATTTCGAAAAGATACATCCTCGGATGAAAAGGAAGATATCTGTTTAAACTCTGAGTTCATATCTCAAGGCGTTTGGCGTGTAGAGCTGTCACACACTCAAAGACACAATTGTTTCTCGGCCAAGCCAGTGGTTAGGGTCGCGGAAGCTTTATGTTTAACCTACGGACCTCGGTTACTTCGCAACCGAGGTCCTCCGGTTTGAAATGAATGGTTTTAATGCATTGTCGTCCTCTCCTGAGTCTATGCCATCTTGACAGTGGTCTAGTAACCGCTGGACCTCCTCGTCCAGCGTCCTAGCCCATTGCAATTTCCTTGACCTCAAGGTAGTCGTTGAAAACTCTTTTCGCGAAGTCGTTCTTCCTCCAGTTAAAGAGGAACCTGTCGCAAAGATAGAAGTCCAGGCTGTATGGACTTTAGAAAAGTGTTGTGATGTTGGCATGGGGCGTGTTATGCTGGGTCTAAAAGTCCTTCACAGCTGGGGATGTGTGGGGTCGCGCGTCGTTACAATTCCGAATGGCCTTGTTCGGGTGGATCGGCTTCGAGCGCAAGCATCTCCACAGATCACCTGTGTGATGAACAAAATATGCATTTATAATGCGTTGGAATTCAACAGATTCCTTTGGGGCAGAGGCTTCGAGAGAAAAGTGATTGTTCAGTGTGAAAGCAATATAAGGAAGGGCCTTCTTGTCAGCCACGTTTCGCTGGACAGCTTGGAGCCGGTCCTGATTTGCTCTATTACATTGACCCAGCATAGTAAATGTAGCTATTAAGCAAATGCTTGCAACCATATTCAATGATTTGTGTACATTCCAAGCCGAAATTTGGAAAAGATAAACAGTTTTTCTCTCTCTTCTCTACTTCGTAATATACGTGTCTACCCAATAATTGTATAAAATGCTCCAGCTTGCCTTAAGCTGCATCACAAATGGATTCTAATACGAAGACGACATTGGTTACAGGTACTATGGCAAGGACAAGAAGCATCCTACATCCAAGCCGAATGTCCTTCTCCTCAGAGTAAAACTGAATCAGTCCAAGCTCCTGAATATTCCTCCAAAGTGATTGTCCCAGATGAAAGTTACATCCCTGAATTGCAATGCCATGAGAAACACTCCAAGCAACATTTTGTGAAGGAAGTTCATAGTCGAATAGCATACTTTCTGGCGAGTTGACTCCAGCAATACTGCAGATATTTCCTGGAAAAAGCGTTAATTATTTATTTGAGACTTGGGTGTGAGCAATGCGAACACCTTGGGAAAATTCTCCTTCAATTTAGCCACATGAATGGTATGAAGCTGTTTTAAGATGGGACGCCACAGAAAAATTCTGTCTCCGAAAAGGAAAAAGTTGAAAGGCATAGAAGAAGAGACAACGGTCGAAAAAAACATTGTGGTGAAGTATGAAATATCGTAACATCATTCATTCCATTTTTTTTTACTCGGTGAACGATGAAATAACAGTCTTCCCTGAAACCCAACTGATAAACAAAATAAATAGTTTTGAATTAGGATTTTGGCCCCACGGTATGCCAAGATTTATTCATTCAGTTAATTTGGCTCATTCGGTTCTTGCAGTGCACTTCATTTGACATATAAAATACTTATTATGTTATCTCTGGTCTTCTTACTACATGTATGGAATGTCCGAAGGAGGCGTAAAATTCCCCATTAGTCACTATTCATAATGTATTCTCTTGCTTTCATGTTTCTGCAGGTCCCGTGCTTTCATGGATTGGATAATGAAGTTGAGAGGATTTCTGCAAGACAAAAAGGTCCATATAGAAATGACGGAATTTCTCCTCAAACTCATCCAGGAAGACCTAATCTCACTGGGGGAGAAGTCGGACAATGACAAAAAGAGTAGCTATGGAGGAAGGGTTGACCATGTCTTCTCCATCCTCTTCACCAAAAATCCAGATGATACGAAGTTGAGGTTGGAAAAAATTCTCGCAGATATGAAAAGGAGTGATATTATCAAGAGGATGGATGAAAGCGCTGGTATGTTTTCCTTCCGTCAACATCAAAGACGCGATGAACGTACATGATTGTTGCGAATCATCTTCACGAATGAATAAAAAATGTAGGAAAAAACACAGGAACTGTTCAGAAGTGATTAACAAATGCAATTTACCCATTAAATGCTCAGCCAGGTCAACTGACAACAGGCTGAATTGATTTATCTTAAAAACACGATATTTCCATCAGCATCTCAATAGGTATGTTCAAGGCGAGTTTAGGCATTGAATGACTTCATTGCGCTTAAGCAAACAAATTTCTTCGAAAACGTCCTCGCGATAAATCTAACCAGGGTATTTATCTCCCATGTCGGAGTTATTCCGAAGGCAGCCCATAACAGTCATTCGTTTGTCTGGTTTCTTCATTCTTTCATGTATCGAACACGGTTAGGATACTCACGCACTAATTCACAGTTTCTGAAAGCATAACTTACCTATTTACTTGTAACTCCCTCATACAGCAGTTGCTTTCAGTGAAAATCTGTTTTTGGATTGATTTTTAGCGCTCTATGACTAGGCCAATTCTCCCCTCCCAAAACTAAGGCGAGACTAGGAGTACAAAATTTCGAAAAAGCTCAAAAGTTAAAAAAAAGGTTTTCTGCCCAAAAACATACAACATTCAGCTTTCATAAAAACCCAGTTTCAGTATGTTGCGATAATGATTTCTCACATTGTTGGCCCATATTCTGATAATAGCAAATATTTCATATAAATCAACAACCATTTTTGAACCTGAATACTTTGCCAAATAATTTTTTCTTTCACCAGAAAGAAGGTTATAAAGCATCAGAAAATCAACAAAAAAGCAGCACAAGAGGAACAGGAAAACTTGCAATAGAGAACAGGGAGGTTTTGAAGTAAAATTTGGACTTATTCGTATTGTGAAACCTTTTAAAGTGGATCCGGTTGAAGTAAATTTCAAGAAGAGTTTTGATACAGAGACTAATACTAAACATAACTCTCAACCTCTGTATGTCTTCCCGTCTACAAATATATGAGAGAAAAGCTAAGGCTCACGCAGCATCAAAATGACTTGGCGATTAAAATGCTCTAAGAGAGTGTAACGCAGCAGAAAGTTACACCCTCTTTGACCCTCTTGGAACGAGCTGTCAGAACACTTGACCATGTTGGATGTAGTGATTCTGAAAGTCGTGTTTTGCCAGTTATGATGAGGTGATGATTATATCTGGTATAGGTCACACGGGTGAGCCCTATATATACGTAATGATGCAATTTAGCCGCAAATATTCTTCTTTTCTTTGCTGATCGGCGCTCTAATTTTTCCTTCCCTCCAGCTGCTTTCTTTACTCTGATTTACATTGACTAACATGAATAGATTGGAGATACTTTGCCACAATACCTTTACCTGATGATGGGCCAGTATAGACCAGGAGAAGTTTATTGACTAGGTAGTTAGTCACACTATCATGTTATGTTAATCACACTTTTCGAGCCTAGACAGCGTCGTACCAAAAAGGCGAAATATCGATGGGAAGGAGTAGGACCTGGGGTAAGAGAAAAAGTTCAATTCGTGGATATGTCCCCATCGGTGAAGGCATAAATGGAAAGTTATTCATTTTATGTGACTAACATAACATATTACCGGTATTCTACCTTAGGCCTGGCGTATTCAAATACATTAGCGAAAGAAGCATGAGACTCCACCTAATTATATCTGATGATGATATAACTCATGATTACATCATTTTATTTCAGGTAGTTCGGTTGCAATACGAAAAAACTAGCCGTGTAAAAGCAAAACATTCGAACTGAATAAGCATATCCAGGGGGTGACAAGACCGTCGGCATTTTCTGGGGAGTTACTATATTAACACTATGGTCGTTCTATCTTATGCTGCTGATTTCTATCTATCGGTGTATGCTCATAGTATGCAATATTTACGCAGTTTTCATTTTTGCCTAATGGTTGACCCATCCTTCAATGAGCCAAAGGAAATACAGGATTTTGTTCTTGTAAATGTATATGTAGATGTAGATGTATCTTTCGCTATATGAAAAAAGTTGTGGAAATATGTCCCAACGTAACAAGTATGCCCTCAGAAGATCCATCTGAATCTGAATATTAGATTTCCTGAAATCAGTTTCTCCATTTTCTCCACAAGAGGGTCAATTGAAGATGACCCAAGGACGTGGCGCCCTGTGCAGGCTTTTGATCAGGAAATGTGTGACAAATTGGAGAGTGCGATACTGGAGGATCGTGGCACCAAAGTCTCTGTTTTAGTTCATGAACTAGGGAGGGGAGAATTGGCCTAGTCATAGAGCGCTAAAAATCAATCCAAAAACAGATTTTCACTGAAAGCAACT